GTTTTTGTTCTTTCTTTTTTTTTTTCTTGTTTATTTCTTCCTTTTTCGGAAAGGGAATTTTATTACCCGTTGCCCCCCGGGTTGGAGTTGCGGCCTTCTAGTTTTCTCGGGAAGTATGATTCGGCTTCGAGCCCCTCTGGAAGGAGTTGTTGCCCCGGGCCCCCCCGGGAAGGAGTTGGGGCCCCAAGCCCCCCTGGGTGGAGTTTAGGCCCCGAGCCCCCCTGGAAGGAGTTTGGGCCTTGAGCCCCCCGGGAAGGAGTTTCGCCCTGAGCCCCCCCGGGAAGGAGATGCGCCCTGAGCCCCCCCCCCCCGAAGGAGCTGTGGGGATGACGCCCCTCTCACAGGTGAGGGGACAAAGGCACTGACAGGCCACCCCGAGACCAAGCCGGGACCGGTCAGAGGCCAGAGGGCAGCACAGCGAGGCCCTGAGCCCAGGGCGGGGACAGAGGCACGTCCGACGGGCTGAAGTCAGCCTCCCGGGTCTGGGGGGGTCCGAGTGGGGTGAAGGTGCCAGGGCTGGGGTGCTTCTCAGGAGGTCCCCCCTAGACAGCGCGCCCCGGGAGCAGGAGCAGCCGGGGAGGAGGGAGAGAGCGCTCAGTCCGCCCGCCCGTGTGCCAGGGCCTCGGCAGCTGGCCTGGGTCCCCCCACCTGGGCTGCGGGCCGTGGGGCAGGGCAGGGGCAGCCCGAAAGGGCTGTGCGGGCACCGCTGTCCAAGGCCCAGCAGACGCCAGTGGGCAGCTGGCTCTTCCCTGACCCCACCTGCCACGGGGGACGGTGCCCGGTGTCCCCCAGGCCTGACGCCCCTGAGGCTGGGGTGCCCGTGCCAGCAGGGCCCCGTCCACAGCCCTCACCCCAGGCCGGCTTCCCGGGGGGTCCTGGCCTGGGACTCCCTGAAGGGCCGCTCTCAGGAGGAGCCCAGCCCCCCGCACCGATTGGGGAGGCATTCCTGACCCCCAGCGGGTGTCTGAACCCCGATGGCAGCGCGCCCACCACGCCCGCCCGCTCCGCGCTTCTCTCTCCAGCTTCTCTGTGGCGGCTCCGCATCACCAGCCTCGCTGCTCCTGTTTTGGGGCGTCATTAAGGAAAACAGGGGCCACATGCACACAGCACGGTGACACCCCGACAGCCGATCTGATCACCCGACAGGGACTCGGTGACTAGTGGTGGGAGCGTCTGCAGGGGGAGATGGGACGGGGAGCCCCATCCCTGCGGGCCCAGGGGTCCCATCACTGCACAGGCAGCGTCACTCCGGGCCATGGACATGCAACCTCACGCCTGTGTCATCCTGTTCGCACGCCACCCCTGCACTCAGAGGGGAAAGGGGTTACTTACATACATGTATGCACATGCACGTGTGTGTGTGCATGAGTGCATGTGTGTGCGTGAGTGCACACGTTTGTGAGTGTGCAAGTGCATGCGTTTGTGTGTGTGCATGTGAGTGTGTGTGCATGTGAGTGTGTGTGCATGTGAGTGTGTGTGCATGCATGTGTGCATGTGTGAGAGCGCGTGTGTGTGTGTGTGCGTGCGGCGAGTGTGTGTGTTTTTGTGTGCGCGCGTGGTTGGGGGTTTTTGCGACAATTTGAAGGTAACCCCTGGCCCTGGGTGCGGAGCTGCCAGGCAGCCCGGCCCACCCTTTCCCACCGGAAGTCCCGCCGTCTTAGCCTCTAAAGTAGCAGGTGGACTTTTCCTGTAAAGGGCAAGACAGGGAGCACTTGAGGCTTAAGAATAATATGCAACATGTGACAATGAGTTCCACCGTCACTGTGTATAAATAAAGTTTTATTGGAACACGTGGCTTTCATCGTGGATCAGCTACGGCTGCCTTTGAGGCCCAGAGCAGGGTCGGCAGACACGGCGGCCGGGACGCAGACGCCCAGCCTTCCAGCATCTGCCGTTGGAGAACCCTGTCGCCGCCGCCCCTGCTCTGTCAAGTAACGTTAGTGCTTCAATCCGCCAGCCTGCCCGGCCGCGGCTCAGGGCTGAGCATCCACCTACGAACCAGGTCAGGTTCGATTCCCGGTCAGGGCACAGGCCGTGCAGGAGGCAGCCAATCCACGGTTCTCTCTCATCATCGATGTTTCTCTCTCTCCCTCTCCCTTCTTCTCTGAAATCAATAAAAATATATTTTTAAAACCCGCCAGCGGTGACCGCGTGCGTCCTGGTGCCAGTGCAGCTGCTTGGCTGGACGGTGGCCGTCTGCTCGCGGGAAGAGGGGCCGCGGCCCCGGTGCCTGCGGTCGCCGTGGGCGTGGTGACGGCACCAGGAAAGCGTGGGGACAGGCGGTGTGATCGCTCCATCAGTGTGAACGGTAATCGTGTCACCGTGTAGACGGGAACCTCAATAAATACGGAAATCGAAGCCGCCTCCGGTTTATGAGGCATGTGCTGCGGACACCGGGAAGGTCCTGTGGTCACGTCCGGCTTCCCCGGGTCCAGGTGACACCACAGAGTCTCCTTCACAGAAGGTACGAGTGAGCCAGACCGGGGCCGTCCGCTCAGGTCGGGCACCGAGGGGCCGGCGCCGCCCGCTCAGGTCGGGCATCGAGGGGCCGGCGCTGCCCGCTTAGGTCGGGCACGTCAAGGGGCAGCGAGGCGCTGTGCTCAGTAGAAGGGGCCCGCGCTCCGCGCACCGAGGCGTCCAGGCCGCTGTTCATCCATATTTCCTGGATGATCTGCTCCCTGCGCTCGATCCTCTCCGCCAGCTCCGCGACCTCGATGGACGTGTACGCGGGGTACGGAGTCCTGCGGAGCCCCGACAGCTCCCTGGGGAAGCTGGAGGCGGAGGAGTGCTCGCTCCCCTCTGCGTCCTCGCTGTCCTCCGAGGCCCCGTCGCTTCCGGCCACCAGGGGGCTCCCGCGCCCCCCGCAGCGCCCGCAGGTCCCTGGCGCAGGACACTCGGGCGACCAGGGCGCACAGCGTGAGGGCCAGGCCAACGCAGACGCTGGACACGAACAGCAGGGCGGCCCTGTCGGGGTGGGCTGTGGGGAGAGGGCAGGTCAGGGGCGGGGAGGGCGGGGAGGGCCCAGGCAGGAGGCTAGTGCGGAAGCCAGGCCTGGACAGCGCCCCACAGACCACACGTCCTCAGCCATCACAGACCCCCGTGGATTTAAAAAAAAAAAAAAGGTTTGGAGCAGTCACTACGTGTATGTACGTGAGAGGACACGGGCAGAGGTGGTCCCTCTGAGGTCCAACTCAGGTCTGCCTCTCGTTCGCTGTGTGACTTCCTGCAGGATACACACCCTCTCTGTGACTCAGCTTCCTCATCTGTAAAATGGGCTAACAGCGCCTCCCATGAGAGTTCTCCTGACGAAGTGAACTAATTCCTATAAAGCTACCAGAACCCTCCGTGAGTGACGTATAGTAGGTGCTCAGTAAACTGTCAGCTATCAGTAGTCGTAAACGCTGAAAAATTAATTTATATGGAAAGTTTAAATGTGCATGTAAGAACCAATATATGATGTAAGCAAAGCTTAGGTCCTTCTAGATTAAAAAGAAAATACAGCCCAGCAAGCATGGCTCAGTGTCAGCCTGTGGACTGAAGGGTTCTGGGTTCGATTCCCGGTCAGGGCACAGGCCCGGGTTGTGGGCTCGAAGCCCAGTGTGGGGCGTGCGAAGGCAGCCGATCCATGATTCGCTGTCATCACTGATGTTTCTCTCTCCCTCTCCCTTCCTCCCTGAAATCAATAAAAATACATTTATATATATAAAAAAGGCCCCGGAGGGCGTGGCCCCGGATCAGTCGGGCGGGTGCTGCCAGAACTCGCAGCCAGCGCTCAAACTGCGGCCCGTGCCCAGGTGGGCCGACGGGGCTGCGGCGGGCCGTGCCCTCCCCGCGCCGGGACAGGCTCGGCTCTGCCCACCAGCAGGCTGCGTCCCATTGGCCCTCAGGGGAGATTATCCGGGAAACCTTGGCAACCGTGCGAGGTAACGGGGTGACTCAGACAGGGGCTCTGTCTTCGCAGGGCACGACCTGTTCCTTGACTCAGCGATCTTTGGCCCAGTGTTCTCCCAGCCCAGGGGGGAGCGTGCTAATCCCAGGCCCTTCCCAGGATTCCAGCTGGAAACGCATTCCTTCGGCGCCTGCGTCTCAAAGCACAGGATGCCCGTGCAGCCCGCCCTACACGGCGTGACTCCCATCTGCTTCCCCTCCCCCGCCCCCCCAGCGGTTCCCCTGCAGCCTGACCCTACAGGGCGTGACTCCCGTCTGCCCACCCCCCCAGCGGTTCTCCTGTTGGTCGCCCGGCTGAGCTGGACCTGAATCCAGGCCTCTGTGTTTCCAGATCCCAGCAGACGACAAGCGACAGGTCGTCAACGTGAAGTCGTTTCCCCAGCCAGCGGAGTCTGTGCTCCAGCCGCACATCTGCGGGGCCGGCCGGTTAACCCGCAGTGACTCGCCCGCTGCCTGAGGGGCGCCCGCCCGCCGACCCACCTCGGATGTAGGACCCACCTCGGATGTAGGCGAAGGCTGCCAGGGAGCTGCTGACGAGGACCCCGTCCTTCCTCGGGACCCGCGACTCGCTGGGGTCGGCGTTGACACCTGTGTCATAACAAGTGCAGACGGTGAGGCGCAGCCGCCACAGACCTCCACGCCGCCCGGCCCGTGTGGCCCAGTGGTTGGAGCGTCGGCCCGCGCACCAGAGGGTCATGGGTTCCATTCCCAGTCAGGGGCACGAACCTGGCTGGAAGGTTAGAGCCCCGGCCCCATCAGGGCGCATGCAGGAGGCAACCAGTCGATGTGTCTCTTACATGGATGTTTCTCTCTCTCTCTCTCCCTGCCTCTCTCTTCCCCTCCCTCTCTCCCTCCCTTCCTCTCTCTCTAAAAATCAATGGGGAAAAAATACCCTCAGGTGAGGATTAACAAAACAAAACAAAAATCAAACAAAGACTAAGCCAGGAAGAGCGTTAAGTGCAGACGGGAAACACAGAAGGGCCGGGACGCTAAGCCTCGTTGGCTGACTGCTGACTCCGGGCCGCTCTCCGCCCGGCCGAGGGGAGCGAATGTTTTCCTGTCCCGGCAGCAACGCGCGTGTCGCGTCTAGTAACGTCCGACTTCGCCTGCGGCTGCCGCTCTGTGAGCACGGAGGCCAACCCCGGTTAGACGGGCGGCCGTGTTGGGTCACGTTTCTCGGAAATGACAGTCGGATCCCGGCTACACGTTGGCGCCGGCCTGGGGCTCCTGATGGGGCGTCCACGGGGCTCTGGGGTGTCAGACGGGCCCAAGCTCAGAGGAAGGAGGGCGCGGGGTCAGAGGCTGCTGGGGGCGGGGGGGGGGGTAGTCACGGGACCAGAGAGAGCAGTGGGCGGGGCAGCCTGGGGGCTGGGGAACCAGACAATGACCCTGAATGTGAGCTGAGAGGGTTTCTGTTGCTCGGTGCTGCCCTGTCATGTGCACATCCAGCGTGCTGTCACATGCAGGGGGCCAAGACCTCACCCATGTTACGGACGTAACACAACCTTCCTCACCCACCGGCCGGCGTGGCTCAGGGGTTGAGCATCGAACTAAGAACCAGGAGGTCAAGGTAGATTCCCGGGTCAGGGCACAGGCCCGGGTTGCAGGCTCGATCCCCAGTGGGGGGCGTGCAGGAGGCAGCCGGGTCCACGAATCTCTCTCATCATGGACGTTTCTATCTCTCTCTCTCCCCTCCCCCTTCCTCTCTGACATCATAAAAAATATGAAAAA